ATACTGCAGACTGGGCATGGACTGTGGCTGCTGCTGACTAGTGGTTGTGACTATTGGCACAACTTATTGCTGCTGTTGTGCATCACGACTGCACCAGGTTGTTACAGCCCGTAGCCGAATAGAGCACGAGGGGGTGTGCTCTATTCGAAAAACGGTCTTTTCTGGGCTAAGTAACTGCAGTTTTGAGCACGGTAACTTGGAGGGAGGAGTCAGACAATGCAAAGGGGTTGCTACTGCGACATGGAGGATTGTCAGGGGGGCTGGCATTCTGCATTTTGCTATGGATTGAGAGGTTTTATTGCGTTCTTGGCTGCCATTGCGGGGCCCTAAGGCGCATCAAGATTTCAAGGCCCTCTCATTGTAAGTTGAGTTGTACCTCCCCTGGATCTCGAGAGTCTGATCTACCTACATCTATCCTTCTTAATCTCAGTCTGATCTATTGGTGACGAGAGGAAGGCGGAAGGCGGGATTGCAACCCATAGAGCCGCAGCAAGACCTTGTGGGAGGTCCACCCACCGATTGCGGGAGCTGTGTCGGAACCGAGGCGGGGTTCTGGAGGCAGGAAACATTCAGGTATGGCCTTCGTTTTACGCGTGTGGTTCCAACCTTAAATTATATTAACCTTGTGCTATTGTCTGACTGAAAGTATGACTGGAAACGATATTTGACTGTTTTGTTTGTTTATTTTCAKGACATTGTTTTGCGAAATAAATTAACAAGTATTTATTGATAATTAAGACTAGCTGATTGAATTCAGACAACACAAGGGTTGTAACTATGTAGYGAAGGCTGGGCGAACGCATAAGTTGCGAGCTGCTCAGTYGATAGCATGTRTTCTACWTGTTATTTGGCAAGCTAGACTACCCATAAGTTGGGTAGCCTGGTTCTACGCCGTATGTAATTGTATAGGCTGGTCAGGCACAACATAAGTTGTTGTGCCTGGTCATATGCCTTTTGTCGTTGTTCAGGCAAAGGTTGGGTTCCTCATAAGTTGAGGTAGTCCAGTTCCTTATGTATGCCAAAATTTTAGGTTGGCCAGTCACAACATGAGTTGTTGTGCCTGGTCATACTCCTTACCTCAATTGTTTAGGCAGAAGCTGACCACACCATAAGTTGGTGTGACTCGGTCTTATGCTTTATTGTTCCAGGCGAGACTATTCATACCATAAGTTGGTGTGGTCAAGTCATGAGCCGTCATCATTAAAGCGAATCAGAGTATATAATGTGATACAATTACCTATTATGAATATTCGTGGCAGGCTGGGCGTCATAAGTTGGGAGATCCAGCCATATAAGCCGGTAGCAGACAAAGCGGAGGGGAAAGAAGATTAAAAGTATAAAATGGTGTGGTAACTTTGGGCAGGCTGACTCATCCATAAGTTGGGTAGTCAGTCCTATGTCCTTGATAACACAAAGCAGAGAATTATA